GTGGCTGAAGTGAGCCTCTATCCAATTCTGGTAACCAGTTAAAAATCCATTTAGGGGTCAGTTGATACGGAAAACTAGGGTCAAACCCAGTTGACTATAAGACTATACACTGATGGCAACTCACATAGGTAGGTATAAGTAACGAGGTTGCATGCTATTCATTCACATGAGACCTAAGAAGAAAGGCAGGTTAGCAATTGCAGTCTTCCTCAACCTTTATCTTTGAAGTGACGCATCTTAAAAACAAAAAAAAAAAATAATTTAAGTATTAATCCTTTAGAAATTACTATTATATTTGTATGAAACTTATCTAATTTTTATTTAATAAAATTAACTAAATAATCATGAAAAGATCTAAAATAAGAAGAGATTATAGATTTAATAATTTTTAGAAGACTTTTAGACTAAATATTATCAATTTACTAAATTATTTCTTCTTTATTTACTAAATTTTTTTATTAGTTTTAATGAATACACTATTAAGAAACTCTTTTCTAAGTTTATTTTTCAATTTAAAAATTATAATAGAAGGTAGTTTTGATTATCAGCTATATAATCTAATATAACTGTAAATGTAATTCTTTTATATCTTATAGTTTTAATACTAATTATATTAGAATTACACTTTTCTAAAGTATAAAAATTAAGTAAACAGGAGTTTCATCCATATTTGCAATAAAATTGAAAGGGATAATCATATTATATTCTTCTATAAAGAACAAAGCTTAAAAAATCTATTGTTTTTCAATATATCTTTTAATAAGTATTAAACTATAGTTGATCTTTGCCTATTTGAAAGATTATAATAAATCATAAAGCAATTTATTTACTTTTTGAAAATTTAAATGAAGAAATTGTAGAATATATTTTCTAAAATTTTTCAGTTTGTAAAAATTCTTTAATTTTATTCATTAACATATTTCTAGTAATTAATAAACTTTATGCATAATAATTAGTAATCTATTCTGCTAAGCCTTGTTCTAACTCTGAAATGTAACTTTAGTAAATAAAATGCTAAAATTTTCAGTTGATCCTTTTTTTCTTTAATTCTGAATTTGATTTAGTACTAAACTAAAATATCTTACTGTTCTTCAAATATTATTTGAATATTATAAAAATTGTAAAACTATTAATTTTTTGTATATATATCATTGTTTTCAACTTTACAATATTTAGACTTTTGACAACCATTTTGAAGAAAAAAAGAATTGTGAAATATGATATATATAAAATATAATACAAACGTGCTAAATTTTATAATTATTACAATCTATATTAATCTATATATTATATAATTAATTATCTTTCAAACTACTTTATATTAAAATATCTTCTGATTAAACTATCCAAATATTTTATAAATTTAAGATGAATTTGTAAAAAATCCAGAGTAAATTAATCAATACTTTATAGTAGCTATTATTAAAATATATTATTTTATAAATAAAAATAGTTTTAATAAAATTTTAAATATAAGAAATTTGTTCTATTATTTTTGTTTATCAATTATTAATTACATATATTTTATATTTTTTATTATTTTTATTTTTATTTTATTTTTTTTTGTAAAAAACTTTTATTCATTATATTATTATAAATGAATATTAGTAATCAAAAAAACTGATATAATAATATAAATAAATATTAATATAAATTTATAAGTTTTTATTAATAAATATTATAAATAAATTAATCAATTATTTTTTATTATAAAAAAAAAAATAAAAAATAATTTTATATAATTTTATTATAAAGATTATTTTTATTAAATTTTATATGGAAAAATTATTAAGAAAATGAGATCCTAGAAATTTTTTTGACTAAAATTAAGATCTTATTATATTTAATCTAATAATATCAAAAACTAAAAAAAATTAAAATATAATAAAAAATAAAATTTTATTAAAAAATTTCACCTATTTTCCTAGCAAATTTCTTATTGTTATATATAAATTTATTTAAATAAAATACTATAGAATATTTATTTTCTAAAACAAGTAAATTCACATGTGATAAAAGTACAGATCTTAATAAAATTATATATCTAGAATCTATTTACATTATAATTCCAATTTTTGGTAATTTTAAATCTTTACCTTCAAAAGTTTCAAAAACTACTATTATTCAAAATGCATATAAGTAATCATTAGAATATTTTGGAAAATTAACAGCTTCTTGATTTAAGCTAATCTGATTTTCTTATACTAAAATTTATTTTAAAACTTTTGAAAAATAAAATGATAGCTTAATTATAATATATTAAAATCTAAAAATAATTCTAAAAAACTATTCATAATTAATTTTATTATATAAAATTCTAATTTTATAATTAAGGAAAATAATAATTTTGTATTTAAATAATTAAAAAATCTGAAAGTACTTTCAGATTTTACTACATTTTGAAAATGAGTTTGCTTAATATCTATTTTTTCATTTAAATTCTTATTTTCTATAGTATTTCTCTTAATATAATTAAAATTAAAATTATTTTTAATCAATAATATATAACCTCCATAAATTGCATTTGTATTACGAGAATTTTTTTTGCCTTATTAATTAATTTGATCTGATAAAATAATAGAAATATGTTTTAAACTAATTATTAATACTATTAAATAAATCTGTTTGTTCAGATTTACTATTATTAAAAAAAATAATTTTTAATAACTGAAACTAAAACATATACTTTATTATTTATTAGTTGATAAATAAAAATATTTAATTTCGTTTAACACTTCTAATCGTAATGTAGTAAAAAAAGAAGTAAACCAAGAAATGACCGTTAATACCATAAAAATTCGTAATGTTACATTGGATATAATTCCACCCGAAAAAAAATCATAATTTTCGCCTTGGTTAGTCTTTGTTTCGACCATATTGTTAGGATAACATTTGTTAGGATGCCAAGTTGTCTTAATTAAATTTTAATATATTTTCCTTGCGATATTCATAACTTCATAATTTTATGCTGTAACTTCGTTAATTCGTTGTTTTAATAATATTTTTTATTTTTATTTTTGCGATTATTATTTAATTAATTAGCGTTTAGTGATTAGCATTTATTTGAGACCACACTGATTAATTAATTTTATTGAATAACATTTACAACATAATTATTCAATTGCTTATTAATAAACCCTTTTGCTTACATTTAAAATTGTATAAAATTCATAAACGAAAGAATTGAATACAACAGCATTATATTTCGAAGTCAAGAGATAAAATTTTTACATATAAAATTTTTTGGTTAAAATTTAAAAGGTGACCCGGCAGGGTGACGTGAACCGAAAATGCTAGTGCGTGGCCTTATAATGGTAATCATTTTTATTTTTATTTAAAAAATATGACGTAGGTTAATAAAAACATTTTTTAAAAATATGCAATTTTATTAATAATTGTTTTAAATTTATGCGACTTACTGCATTAAATTCTACACATGAAAATTTCAAAAAATAAGCGACACTTTTCAGAAAAGATTTTCCGTGATAAGTCAGATGACCGAACCGGTCCCAAAGATTGTGAATAGGTCTCGCCGGGCTCAAGTTCATGATTCCGATTTTCAATAATGCTTGTTGTAGATCTAGAATAGTTTTTTTTGCATGATACACGTAAAAATTTATTTCACAAAACATTTGACGATCCTTTTCAATTGGAATCATTTGCTATTGGTGCAAATCTGTTCTCTTTGTTAATTATTTTGTTTCAAAAAAAGATTCCTGATTTAATAATGAATTTTCCATTTAATGTGTTACCTGTATAAAATTTTCATTTATTTTGGTAATTTGGCAAAATTACTGTTCTACATAACAGAGTATTTAGGGATGCAACCAACGAAATCCTTATGTCTTTGTAACGAGAGAAAAAAGGAAAAAAAAAATGTTAATGTGAAGTCACATGACATTACAAGTCTCGTCAATAAACAATCACCTTATTTTGTAACTAATCGACGAAGCCCATATAACCCTTTCACTCAAAAAGATATGTAAAGTTTTCAAAGTACGTCAATTAAAAAAATGATCAATAGTATAATTTTTCGTGCAAAAAGGTCTTTATAAGGATGTGCGATACAACGAAGTTATTGATTATTTAAAAATCGGGTTGTGATCAATTTTTAATTATAAACCTGACGTGCCAAAGATTTACTTCTTTTGTCTTTCGGTATGATTATAAAGTTAAATTTACTGGTTTGTTTCGATGATAAATACATATACACAACATAATCATCTATTTTTAAAAGATGTTATATATTATTTACTTTGTGATTTATTAACAAAGCATGGAATAAATTTTTAAGTGACACGACATTAATCCAAAAATAAATCATTTTCAAATTATATATATATATATAATGTGAAGTAAAAAAGTTCATATAACCAATATACACTTTCATTACTTTAATTCAACCACACATTCCCTTTACCTTCTTCACTCCATCTGCTTTTACAATCTTTAGTCCATCCGCTTTAATTAATCATCCATTCTTCATCCTCATTTCACTTTTTAGAATATTGATTACAATGCTTTCCTCACGTTTAATCATACTATTACCTTTTATCTTTTCCATGACCTTGCAAACTTCCTCTACACCACATGTGAAATGTCCAGACGTACCTATCGGTCACTCAAAACAAGAATACTTTGTATTTCTCAACACTTCTTCTCACTCCACCACATCAGTGACCAAAAGTCACTTTAAGATGCTTACTGAATGCTTTGGACTTGACGTAGAAAAAGTGACGTCCGTAAAGTCCAAAAATGGAATGGTCAAGAGGTGTACCGCCAATGATAAAAAAATTATAGATTTTTCAGTTAACAAAAGTTTTGCAGCGTATAGTGCTTTTTTTGACGAATCATTCGTTGAACATTACTTGCGCAAGGCGAATGACGTGGAATTCGTTGAAAAGGTTACTAAGGTATCCGTAGATGCAACTACTACCCAGTCCAATGCACCTTTCGTAAGTAAGCGAGTATCGTACGCAAAAAACATTTTATTCCGTGTAATAATTAGATTTCGCTTTATTTTGATAGAATCTTGACCGTATCGATCAGGTCAATTTTCCGTTGGACAAAAATTACAAATTTCCGTCTGCCGGTTGGGGAGTTAATGTTTTTGTTATTGACACGTGAGTAGATCAATTTAGCATTCACGATTTTTTTTTTTTTTTTTTTTTTTCCTAAGAAAAAAATTATTTTTTTGATAAATTTAGCGGAATCGATACAAGTCATGCAGAATTTGAAGGGAGAGCAGTATTTGGGGGTGCTTTTTGTGACGGTTGTAGAAATACTGATGATAATGGGTATGTTTAATGAATCTAAACGATTTATTCTTGAAAATTTTTTTAAAAATATTTCATAACTTTTCATTTAATAAATTAGACATGGAACTAATGTGGCTGGAATAGTAAGTCATAATTTTCCAAACCATTCATTTTTTTTTCATTTTTAATTGAAATTAAAATTTTATTTATTTTTTTTTTTCCTTCGTGAATAGATCGGTGGAAAGAAGTTTGGTGTTGCTAAAAAGACCAGACTTATTTCTGTCAAAGTGTTGGATAAAAATGGCTCCGGCAGCACCACGACCGTGGGTGCCGGGATTGTGTTTGTGATCGACCAACACAAAAAGAGTAAAAATAAAAACTCGATCATTAAGTAAGTTTTTTTTTTTTTTTATTTGTTGGTTTGTGAACCTTCTCCTCTTGTTAACTTGTATAAAATTTAACGTAGCATATCCATTGGTGGAAAGCAATCTAAAGCAATTAATAAATTGGTTGAAGAATGCACAAATGCCGGTATCCATGTGGTAGTTTCGTCCGGAAATGATGCAGCAGATGCATGCAACACATCACCAGCATCGGCCCCATCAGCAATTACTGTGGGAGCCACGGAGAAAACTTCAAATCAAGTTACAGATTTTTCTAATACAGGATCATGTGTGGATATTTTTGCTCCAGGAAGAGATATTGTTGCAGCTGGAATTATTGGCAAGGAAAAAGTATCAATGTTTTCAGGAACGAGTCAGGCATCTCCTCATGTTGCCGGCGCGCTTGCGTTGATAATCAGCAATAGAGGAAACATGAATCCATCATTGATGGCTAAAGAACTGACGAAAATCTCCACAAAAAATGTTGTCAAAGGTTTAAATTCATACACGCCAAATGTGTTTTTGCGTATTCCTATGTGATGTGGCAGATTAGTTTCGTTAGTCATGATAAGAGTTCAGATAATGCGAATATAGTAACATTACTTACTTTGTATAATATGTGCGCACACCTTCAAACCTGAAGGCCATTTCATTGATTGTCGTGTCCATGAAATTTATCTTGTAAATAAATTACATTTAGAACGAATGAATAAAATTTACTTTTTCAAATCCATATGACGTCACTTGTACGAGCATTGAAATGAGAAAAATTTTTTTTTTTTTATTTTACAAAAATCATGAGAATTCCTCCTTCATTCATGATTTTTATTTTTCAATTTTTTTTTCAAGAAGTCTTAAACAAGCAATTAAATTATTTTACTCGATAAAAAAAGATTTTTTCATTTTATCGTGTCTTGTGCAACGACTTTATTTTCCCTTAACCTTTTCTTTTAAATTGAAAAGGACGCGCCAGTGTTCGAGCCCCTCTGAGGATTTTTAATAGAAAATGGTCAATAAAACGCAACAAAAAAAAAAGTAAAATTGTTTTTCATTTCGCCGTTTGCGTCACGAATGGCGCAGAAAAATGAAAAATTGCGTTGGCTGGAAATGAAAAAGAAACAAGTCACAGATTTCAACATTATAGAATAAAAATCAATGAGAATTCAATTTATAAATGAACGAAATAATATTTTATTCAATATAAAGAAATCAATTTATTAAATAATAACATGAATGAATATAAAATTATCAAATTTTTGCGGGATTCAACTTTTCATTGTGCAAGGGATTGTTGGAAGGAAAGAGGGTTAAGGATTGGAAAGGGTAAGAGGGTAAGGGATTGGAAGGATGAACGTAAACTAATCAAAACAACCCTAACTATAGATAATTTAAACAGTTCTAAAATGAGAATATGCTAGGGAAGTGTCTGATCTCACGAGTTAAAACATCCCGAAATCATCTCCTCCATCTTTTGCACCAGATCATCCAAATCCAATCTTTCTCTGTCCCTAGTTGTTTCTTCTGTTAAGGTAATATTTCTCGTGTCAAAAATTTATCTTAAAATTTTATTTTTTTTTGTGTGTGTGTGTGTGACTTTCGATCTAGTCAACAAAAAATTTATTATAATTCAAACTCTTTAAAACCTGGACAAAAATTTATTATAATTCAAACTTCTTTCGAAGTTTGAATTTTAAACTTTCTCCAGGAAATGTATAACCGGCCAGCCGATTAACTTTAATTTTCATTTTTGAATTGTGTAATTAACAAGTATTGAAATTGGAGTTTATATAATAATAAGAACTTGTAAAAGGTTTTTGAAGGATATGTCTTGAAGGTATTTTGCGTTTGAAGGACATTTTGTATGATTGATTTTTTGGTAAAATTTTTTTCAGGAAAAAAATTAAAATTCGAAAAAAAAAAAAAATCGGTAGTTTTTAAGGAGGGGGATCGTCGTTTCAAACAATAGATAAAATTATTAAGGTTATACAACAAGAAAACCCCCAAAACCCCAACATTTTCCAACACGTTTTTTCACGCTTTGTTGCATATCTTGGCGTTCTTTTATCGGAGGACAATAAAATTTAAAAGCAAGAAGGCTTTTTATTTAACAATTTTTGTGTGATCAAACAAAAAGATCCCGTGTAAAAAAGATAACATCAATCTTTTGTCACATGGTGCATGGTGTTGTAACTTTTGTATTACATATTTACGCCAAAGTATTATACAATCTGTTGTACAGTACTTTCATCTCGATGGAAGATCTTCTAATACGGGCTTTTTCTAATGGTGTCACTAACTGCGCCAGAGTCCAAAATTTACTGCGTCTTGTTTCTTTAGTAATTACGATACTCCGATTATAATTAATTACTCCTTAAAAACCAACCAATCATCGTTACGATTACATAAACAATGATCCACTCGATTACAATGAGAAATCTTTTAACAAAACAAACTTTCATTCAATGGAATGTTTAACCTTATAAGTAAAAAAAAAAGGGCGTTGATTGTGGATTTGCAAATTATTTTTTACGCTAGCTAGCCATCTAATATATTTTTTATTTTCTTTATAAACAACCCGTAATTGATGGCTTCAAAGAATGATTCAGAATCAATCGAAGTTTCGGAATCAGAGAAGGCTTCGGAAACAAAGAAACTTTCGGAACTGGAAGTGAACCTTAAAATAGTTAAAAGACTTTTGAGTGAGAATTTGTATACATATGATTCTCTAATCGAACAACTCAAGGCACATAATTTTTTTGTTGTTGGCTTGTGTTTTCTATGTATCCTTCTTGGGATTATTCTATTACTTATAAAGAAAGATATTTTGGATATTTCATTTGTTGGGAATGTTGTTGTGTCTTCCATTACGCTTATTCTTACCGGAAGCAGTGTTATTATGACCCTAAAAGATATTATTTCGAAATCTGAAAATTCAGGAGAGAGAAGGAATAATATTATTTTTGAGGATAATACTTCTATGTTCGGAGAACAAGACTTGGAAATGATACTTGATAAAAATAAAAAATTGATAAAGAAAAATAAAAGTCTGAAAAATGCAAAAGTTCTTCAATCTGTATGGGCTTTCTTCGGTTCCGTTATCCTTCTTAGTATTGCCGGATTCGACTTTCTTACTATTGTTTCAAAGAAACATATCCACATTGCTTTGGATATTACTATGATAGTTATTGGTTGTGTCGGTCTTCTTCATTGTATTAGTGTTTGTATTATTCTTGGTATTTTTCCTTTTATGGAAAAGTGGTTGACATATTTATTTCCTTTTCTTTGTGGTATTGGTCTTACAAGAAAAAAAATGCCAAAAGGTGTTCTTTTACCAGATGAAGAACAAGAAAGTTATATATATATTATTAACGGTATAAAGAATGATTCTCCTATGTTATATAAACTTATCCAGGAATTAAATGCTGATGATGAAAAGCCTGGAGATACTGATTGGACCACCAATGCTAATCCAAAGATCACTAAGGATGCGCAAGAGATCACAAATGCTGAGCAAGGTCTGATTCGCCTTTACTATGACCTGGGAGAAGAGCTATCAAAACAAACCAGTAATGAACTTAATGACGACGATAAAAAAATAGAGAGTGCTCAAAAGATCTATTCACTTTTTCACATGATTGGGAAGGATAAGATAAATAATATAGGACGTTTGAAATCTTTTACTGCATCGTCAATTTTAGAATTAAGTTCGGAAAGCATTAAACGCGTAACGGATAAAAAATAAGTTAGCAATTACTGTATAATCTTATCATTAACAAAATGAAAGTGAAATTAAGTTGGAAAATAAAAAAATGTTAAAAAATAAATCCCAAAAAACATTTACATATGAAAAATTTTGTGAAAGTTCCTATCGTGAAACAATGTGATCAGCATCCCGAAAGGTGCAAAACATTATCAGATATAGCATAATGTGCATAACTTTTTTTTTTTAACATATAAGGATTCCCCTACCCTCGTGAAATATATTTTATCACGACCTCCACTTTTCATGGTTGATACACAACCTTTGAATAATAACTTTACGGTCAAGATAAAATGTATATCTTTAACACTCGTTGTGATAAATGAAATAATATATATATAATTAAAAAAAAAATACACTTATTAAATAAACTTTTTTGATTAAACGTTTCTTTTATTTGAATTTGATTTTTCAACCCTTCCAGATGAAATTATGCAAATGTTATTATTGTACATTGCATTATTTTATTAATTTCCATTCATCATTTGATAAATCATTTTTTCAAGATTAAAACATTCTCCCTTATTTGTCACTTGCTTATTTGTCACAAAGTTAATTTGGACGGTACGGATGAGATCTTTCAAATCTTAGTATTCAGTTCTTTCGTTTAAGCAATTTTGTATTGTAAGCAGAAGGACGTTTATTGTATAAAAATTAAAGTAATTGTGACGCTAAATTTATTCTATAATATCAATTAATTAGTATTGCCTCAACGTCGGCGCTCTAAACTTTCGCGATGTCAATATATTAAACTAATTAAATAACAAAGTTAAAATATATAATGTTAAAATGGCGGAAGCGAAATATATCACAAAGGAAGAAAGGAAGGTTTAAGGTTTATATATGCAATATTAAGAAAGGCGACCGTGGTATGTTAAGTTGTTTAAGGATTTCCAACTCATATATATATAAAAAAAAAAATTAATTGGCATCCTGCCAGCCTGGTCAAAAAAATGATCTACAAAGGACTAACTACAATTATCGAAAAATCTACACGTGATACAATTTTTGTTTAGCTTATAAATTTCACCAAGCATTTCATGGTACAACTTATGTACTGCATTTCATGTAAAACCTTTTATTTGAAATTTTAGGAGTTTCAACGTAAAACAATAAAATGAATAAAAATATATAATGTATAAATAAATAATAAATTATTTAATAATAAAATATATAAAATAATAAAATAATAAGTAACACGAGTTTGTAGTTATGCGTTTTGTTTTCTATAAAAGTAAATTGAAATTAGGAAAATATAAATGATTAGTATACACACATATAAAACCTTAGAAAAAAATAAAAGCATAAAATCTAGTAAATATTTTTCCTACCGTAAATATCCCGCTTTTTTTGTTCATTATCAAGGACTTTCAATTCATCTGAATCATGATTATAAATAAGAATTAAAAATTGTGAACCTAAACAATTTAGCGAAATGTTTTCTTACCATCATTATCCACATAGTCAGATTTTGATTTATAATCGGAATTCATTAATTCATCCTGGCCTTTTGAATTAAAATTTGAATATACTGTATATTTTATTTTACTTAATTTATGAAACATAAAATTAGAATTTAATTGCTTACCTTCAATATGAATAATTTGACTCTTTATTGGTTGCGATACCTTTTTACAACCATTTGGAATGTCTAAAAATATTAATAATTTTCAATTAGAATTTATTATTTTTAATACTTTAACATTATTTTAATTCGTTCAAAATTGGAAAATTATAGGTAACTACCTTTTGAAATATTACTACTTGCTTTGGATGTATAGCCATAATTGTGGATACTTGAATTTTTAATGTCATCGACTAAAAACAAGAACAATCAATAAAAGTAAGTCAATTGCATATAATTATCAAAATTGGTAACAATCACTTACTATTATCAGGAATGTTAAAGCTATAAGATTTACTGTGAAATAATTCTTGTTCTTCTGAATTTTTTAAAAAAAATTATTTAATATATAAATAAAATAATAATAAAGAATTATTTAATTCACCTTCAATTGCATTTTTTGGTTCAGGTAAATTTTCAAATTTATAAACCCTGCTGTTGCTTATATCATTTATATTTGTTTTAGGTATTTCCAATCTTTTATTAGTTTCTGGATCTTTTAATATATTTTGATAATATAATTTTTTAATCTCAAGAAATTCGTCATAAAGTAGAGAAATATCAGGTCGTTGTGATGGATCAGCATTCCAGCATTGTTTCATAAAATTTTCATAAATTAAAGGAGTTCCTGGTACAACTTTCGGTCTTAAACCATTAACAATTTTCATTGCGAGGTTGTAATCATGTGCATTATTTGAAAAAGGTGGCATTCCTGAAGAAATTTCCCACATAATTATGCCAAGACTATAAATATCCGACACTTTGGTAGTTTCTTTTCCAACAATAAGTTCAGGTGCCACATAAGGGAGATTACCATATATGCTATCTAATGGTTTGTCCGCAGGACCACAAAATCCAAAATCACTAATGAACCACCAACTTTCATTTTGCAAATATAAAATATTTCCAGAATGTAAATCCCTATGTACCGCGTTTTCTTTATGGATTTTAAGAATTGCGTAAATTATATTAAAAGTAATTTTGATCCTTTCTTTCCACGTTATTCGATTATGGTTTCGCTGCAAGTACGTTCTTAAATCTGTATCCATTTGATTCATTATAAGCATATGATTTCCATTTGCTGTATTTCGGGTCAATCCAAAACTTTGAATAATCTGTGCTGATTTATTGCCAATGGTAAAATGTGACTTGGCCTACAAAAATTAAGATGATAAGTTAGAATCAAACCACCCAGATATTAAAAAACGTTAAATTATTTAATTATTACAAACCTCTTCAAACCAACTTCGATTTGCACTTTCAAAATCATCCAAAAGTTTGAGTACTACCTTTCGTGTTCCTGCCCTTTTTAATTGTCGTTCTTTAGAATCCCATTCATGATAAGGTCCATCAATCCAATCTGCCGTATAAATTTCGGAGCATCCGCCTTTGGTTAAGTACTTAATATTTTGTAAATTATTATACGGGATCCATTCAATTATTCTGGACGGCAAAACCGTTTCTAATTGACATTTCTGTATCAAGGCATCAATCTCATCGTTTCCAGACGTCCAATTTGAAAATTTTGATTTTAAATGATTTCGAACACAATTTTCACAGTATAAAATTGCTAAACATTCTGTTTGACAATTTTCACAAATCCGTTTTGTTCCTTCATTATAAAGAACTTTATCTCGGTTATAATTTATATTGAAAATTCTTACTGCTTCATTCATTTCATCTTTAGTAAGAGTTGTATCAGCCATGATTGATTTTAATCTAAATTCATGCCTTTTGTATAAGTTATTGTGAATTTCATGATCTATAAATGAACATGTTTTATGGATCGCAACATTAAGCGTGTCTCTACGAATCGTCGACATTTCTCATATATACGTTTTAAAAAAACTTTCTTTTTATTTGTTAAACTTGTCGTGGAAGATAAAGATTCGCGGAATAGCGTTCATATTTATATCTGAGATTGAACTATAATAAAATAAACCACGCGGTTTTATTATTAACAACTTACAAACGTTTAATAATCTGATTAGATAATTCTTGTGAAAATTTCAACACCACCATTATAAATCACTAAGCTATAGCTAGTAATTTGTTGTAAAATCTCGTTTCGCCATCATCGTACAAAAAAAATTTATTGATGAATTGTGTGCATTGACCATCCTTTCATCAACGTGTAATTACTAATTTTATTTTAAGGATATTGCAAAATTAATTTACCAAGGTTTAAACGACCTACTGTACTGCAGATCAAAACCATAATAAAATAAAATAAATAAATAATAATTAATTTATTTGTTCGACAAATATAATTATGTAGGACAATGAATTTGAATCGGAATTATCACGTGACTATTATTTTAAAAAAATTTATACAGGCATTTTTTATTATATTGAATGATGTGTTTGATTATTAAAAAAAAATAGCCAAATTATTAATAATTTTAATATATTTAATATAAAATATTGTATTTTAAATTGATTTTTAAACTAAAATCAATTCATTAAAAAAATTTTTTACTTTATAAAATAAATATAATTTTTTTAGTAAAATAAGTTTAGATTTAATATTAACTCAAAAAATTTTTTTGAAATTTTTTCTTTCTATTATATACTTAATAAAATTAAGGTTTGAACTTTATTTTAATCATAATAATAAAATTATTCCTATTTTTTCATGAAGATTTGTATTCATATGCAATTTGAATTAATATATTATCTTTTAAAATATTATTTTTTTTTTTAAATTTTTCAAATTAAATAACTAAGAATCTTTTTATTTTTCTTTTATTATTAATAAAATTATATATTCTTATTAAAAATTATAAACTATACTAAAAAACTATTTTTATATTATAATTTTTTTTACTAAATTTTTAGTTAAAAAAACAAGCAATCTTATTTTTTTAAAAAAATTACTATACTTAAATTTTTATTATTTTAAATAATTATATTTTATATTTCTAAAATTAATAAATAATAATTTTATCTTTAAAATATTACTAATTAATTGCATTTTTTTTTTTTGAATTTTTACTTAAAAAATATAAAATTATTACAAATAATTTTAAATATTAAATAAAATTACAGGCAAGTTTGCTTGCAATATACTTGAAATGATATTTATTTTTAGTTATTTATAAATTCACTAACTAGTAATTTTTTAACAATTATATACATTTAAACCTTTTTAAATATTCTCTTTAGAACTATAAAGAATATATAGTATTTAAAGAAAATATGCATTTAAAAAAAAATTTTTTTATATAATTTCTATATATTTTAAACTAAATGAGAGTATGTATTTAAAAAATATATATAATATGTATATTTAAAAAAATACAGTTAACTCTCTAAAAATGCATCTTCTATAAATATATACCTTTATAAATACATATCTTTATCTAACCTTAACTTGAGCCTTAATGCTAAATACATATTTTTTATATACATTACCTTCAGAAAAGTATCTGGTTAAGCTTTTCTTAAATTATTCAAGATCAAACATAATAACTAGCTATTTTTAAAAAAAATAAATCTCCTAGTTTTGACGATAATGTATATATGTTTATATTTGTACAATGATATTTATATCAATTTTTATAAACAAAAACAAAAACATTTTTTTTTTTAAAAAACTGCGCAATTCAATATGAAAAAAAGTCACAAATTAAATGAATTTGAACGTGAAAAAATAATCAGTTTACAAATAGCTAGAAGAATTCATGAAGCTATTACTTGTCTTTTAAAAATTTCATAAAGCACTATTATAGATATAATCACCCAATATACTAATTTAAATAATGGATCAAATGCTAAAAGAACTGAAAGACCACTTTGTATGAATAATAATGATCATAAAATCCTTAAAAAAATTATAATGAAGAATAATCGAACTTTTCTTAGTAAAATTCATCACAAGTTCTAAAATTTAAAAAATAGAAAAATTTCATAAGATATTATTCGTAAAACTCTTTATCAAATAGGAATTTATTCATGAATTACTACGCTAAAGTCACTTTTTACAGAAATATAATGCAAAAATTGATTAAAATAGTATATAGAGCGATTAATCCAAAAATGGAAAACAGTAATTTGGAGTGATAAATCACGATTCACTCTTTTTGAAAATGATGGACCCGGTCATGTTTAAAGGGAAAATAATATCTGATATGATATTAAAAATTTGACTCCTACAGTCAAATATAATAGTGGTAATATCATAGTATAAAGATACTTTTTAGAAAAAGGATTAGAACCACTAATAAAAGTTGAGGGAAAAATGAATTGATTAGATTATATCGATATTTTAGAAAAAAATTTATTGCCATTCATTTAATCCAAATATCATAGGTAGCCATATGCATTCCAAGATGACAATGCTCCAGTTTATATAGTAAAAGAATGTTAAAAATTAGATTACTAAGAAAAAGATTAAGATATTTTCTGATTGGCTTTCTCAATCTCTAGATCTTAACCTGATTGAATATTTATGGAGTGAACTAAAATGAAAGCACAATAAATATTTTGTGCATCCAAAAATTCTTTGTGAACTTGAAGAAATTTTATAAGAAGAATGGAGAAAAATTCTGTCTAAAACTTATAATAACCTTATAGAAAGCATGTCATATAGAATTGAAACATGTATTAAGAGCCAAAGATAGCTTACTAAATATTAAATATTATATTATATCAAAAATTTTAAATAAATAAAATATTTTTTTAGCTGATCGAATACTTTTCTGAGAATAGTATATATACTCTTTATAAATACACTCTTTGTAAAAAATTTTATAAGTTTATTTATAAATTTTTTGTATTATCTTAATTTTAGATTAATATTATATAAATTTATATAAATTTTATAAATATATATTCTTTTTAAATGCATCCTTATATTTAGTTCTAAAGGGTGTATATTTATAAAGAGTTAACTATATATTTAAAAAGGTTTAACTATAATAATAAAATTATATTTTATATAAAATTATATTATTATTATTTTATTTATTTGATATTTAATAAAATTATAAACTTTTTATATAATTTACTATTAGTTCATATTAATTTTAAATAATAACTGTTTTAAGTTAAGTTTTATTATATAATTTATATTAAATATTTACTTAAGAAAAACTAATTTATTACCTATTTTATGAAATTTTGTTAAATATTATAAATATAATTTTATAGTAATCTATAAATATTTTTTTTATAAATATCTCTTTTTAAATTATTAGTTTTATAAAATCTTTTTATGCAAAAATTCTAACAACTCTTTTTTTCTGAATAACTATTAACTATTTTTATAAATTAAAAAACAAAAAAAAATAAATATATTAATTACAAATCATTTTGTAATCTAAATTTTTATTAATAAATAAATATATATAAATTAATTATTAAGAACATTGGATTCTATTTTTTAACAAAATTGAGATTTTTATTATATTTTAGTTATTAATATTATTATATTAACATGTATCAAACTTTAAATTTTAGTAAAAAATTTCTTAAAACCTGATTTTTCTAGAAATCCTTTTATATATCTAAAAAAAAAATTTTACTTTTATATAAAAAATCTTTATTATATTTAAAAATTCAAATATATAAATTATACTTTTTTCTTAATATAGTTTTAAATATCAATATATAATATTAGAATTATATAATAAAAATAACTTTAAAGATGATTAATTATGATAAATTTTAAAATTTTCTTGTAAGAAAATTTTTTAATATTAAAAAAGATACTTATTCATTTAAAATCTTTAAAATTCATATGAAAATTTTTAAAATATAAAATATACTATATTTTTAAAATATATAAGTTTATAATAATTTTTTATATATTAGTTTTATTAAGTTTATCCTATATTAAAATAAAATTTATTTATAATATCTCAAAAAAAAAATTTTATAAAACTAAATCTTATAAGATTTTTATTTTATCAATTCTAATACTATTATAATATCTATTATAATATTTATATATATTATATTTTCATCTAATTTTTATATTTATTAGTCAATTCAACAATTTATTATATACAAATATTTTAAAGCTTTATATAAATTTTACACTTTCATTTTATTTATTTCTCTATATTTCTAATTTTGATAATAATATTTATATATATTAAATTATAAAAAATTAAACTATTTATATATTATAGAATAAAGATAAAAAGAATTTTCAAATATTATTATCTTTTTTAAAATACTTATTAATAATAATAAATATTATAAGTTTAATAACTTTAATAAAAGCTGTACAGTCAACTCTTGATATAGCGAACTTTTGATATAATGAATTTTTTGAACAAATATAATAAAAATACTCTTGTTATAGCGAATTGGTCAATTAAATCTCTTAAAATCTTCACTATAGCTTTATAACGAAGTTGAGGTCTAGGATATAGAGTTCATTATAATAAGAGTTGATTGTAATGTAAAATATAAAGAAGAGACAAATAATATTTTAATATAAAAAATTTTTTAAATTTCTAAAAATTGTGTTTTATTATAAAAGGTATCAAAGAAGAATTATGATTACTATTATAAAATATTATATAAATAGAGTTAATATGTAAAATCTTAAATTTTATTATATAATAGTATTAAATATTAATGAAATTCAACTTAGATTCATTACAAATTCTATTTGAAAATATGAAAAACTTCAAATAGAATATAAACTGATTGTTAATTCAAAACTATCAAATTGTAAAAATAATTTTATATGCATAATTTTTACTTATCATAAAATTCTTAGTGATTTAAAATATTTATCATTTAAATATACTAATCATTTTAAAAGAGCAGAAATTCTTTAAAAGATATAATACTATATTTCATATTAATATGTAGTTGATAATTTATATTAGCATATGTATAATGAGTTCAAAATTCTTAATTTTTTAGATATGGTCTATTAAAATTCTGAGAACTTAGTGTATTTAAAATAATTAATATTAATGCAATTAATAAAATGTTAAATTTTTTAGATATCAAATAATGAAATTTATATTATTGATTGTGAAAATAGAATTATATTTAAAATA